ACCACGTGGAATTGGTTTCAATTTTGTAGGTTGTGGTGGAAATATCTAAGAGGAGATAGGAGTAGGGTCGGGTGGATAGAGTGATTACTATGACAAACATCCTGAATATTGATTCCTGACGATAGAGTCAAGCTATTCTCCAAAACACTTGAAGGCAGGACAAGAAGCAATGGATGGAAACTAATTAAGGAGAGAAGTAACCTAGAACTAAAGAGAACTTTCCTGACAGTTAGAACAATTAACCAGTGGAACAACCTGCCCCCAGAAACGGTAAATGCTCCAACACTGGACACTTTTTAGAAGAGACTGGACAGCCATTTGTCTGAAATGGTATAGGGTTTCCTGCCTGAGCAGTGGGTTGGACTAGATGACCTCCAAGGTCCCTTCCAACATCATCATCATCATCACCATCATCATCACCACCACCACCACCACCACCACCACACCATCACCATCATCATCATCATCATCATCATTATTATTATTATTATTATTATTATTATTATTATTATTATTAATCACAAGATATAGAGCCAATCTAGCTACTTGTGCTCTGAGGACACTTTGCTTCTACAGAATTTTAATGAGATACTCCTCTAAAGCCCTGCTAAAAGCAAAGCAGTGGTCTACCATATATTTTTCCATTGTGTGACACAGCAGCATTGCTTAACAAAATTTACAGGCAAGAAACATCTGATTGAGGCAGATCAGCACTGTTTCAGCACTTTGTTAGACAGAACTCCTTGTCAAAGCACGAATAACTTTCTCAACATTCTCTTCATGATTTTTGCATTATTGAGACAGGGGAGCTCAACTGGGGATTATTTGAGGCAGATTGCAGTCAATATGCCTTCATTTACACAGCAAAAATATTGGAGGTTCTTTAAGAAAGAAGAACAGTGATGCTTTGACCATAAGATAGATTGGCTGCCCTTGGACAGAGGTGTACCTAAGCAGCTTTCAGGTTTTTAAAGATTTTATGGAAGAAGGAGGTCATAATATCATATCTTCAGTTGTGAAACTCAAGTAATGTTTTGTTTCTGGTCATACTGTCTTTCCAGATTTTACTGAATTCTTGATATATTATAGCAAACAGACTTTTTGTTGTTCCTAATAAAAATGATTATCAGTTTTATCAAACAGATATCTGCAAATAGACTTTCTTACCACTCTGAAGAAATGACATAATTTTATTTACATGCAATCAATAAATAGTATATTCCGGACCCAGCAAAGCATTGACACTTCACTGAAGAGCCATGAACCAAAGCAAAATAAGAGTTTAGCTAACCTTTGGTCAACTACATTACAAGGGCAAGACAAAGAAAAAGGCAGACACAGTGGAAATTACAACATGATGTTGGAATATTTTAGATAAACATATCTGGGTGACCTTCTTACTATTTATCCCTCCCTACTTGGTCAGCCTACTAGCTGTACTCTCTTAGAAATATACTGGTAGTCAATGAATAAAAACCATTTGGTTTACTGGACCACAGATTCCTGACTGATTTACCTTGACAAGGACACCGCAAGCACATGGTATGCATTGGGGAAGGGCATTTCATTGGTATGAATGCAGCCTTCTTCTATATTGAAGTGCATACCATTACATTTAACTTACCTTTTGCTGCTACGTTTTCTTGAAGATAAACAGTACATTTTGGAAGTGAAAATAATAACATACTCAATGTTGAAAATATGCATGCCCCATCAGTTGCCCCAGTTATAATGCATTTTTAAAAACGAAAAAGAGGGAGCCAGATTCAACGAGCATCACTGTTTATGGCTTCTTCAAACCAGGTACAGAGGCTGGACCTATTTCCTGCTTTCTCCCTCCTTCCTTCGTCTCCTATTCCCTGGGTATTCGTTGAGCAAGTGGGTTAGGGCAGCACCAATATATTCAAAATCAGCATTTATACTTGGAGTACATTGCCGCCAGTAACATCTCTGTCATTTTCCTCCAGAAAATGGTTTCACCTTGAGCTGTTCCCAGATCAATCTCAGTGGGAAACTATGTTATTTTGACCCTTGGCTTCATAGGTATTATTGTGCTTTTACTGCCAGATGGAAACACACTTGGTGATATTTAGCATTGTTTTATTTTATGTTTTTCTGCCTAGATATTAGATTCCAGTCCAAATGAGCTTGTTTATGTTGTATATGTTAGAAATTCATAGTTTCAGATGTTAATATTTATTGTAATTATTGTGTTTGATCACATAGTCAGCCAGATGTTCAGATGAATCTTTGTTTTTTTTTTTTGCCATAGTCATTCTACTTTTACTTGCAGATCTTTGTATTATGTGATTTTCTCCAGTTCTTTTTCTTCTATTCTTCTGACTTCAAGTACTGCACTATCCAGACATATTTTTTTCTTTCTTATCAACAATTGTTAAGTCTGGGGTATTGTGGCAGGTGCTTGTCTGTTTGAATTCTAAAGTCCCAGAATGCTTTAGCTTCTTCATTTTCTATTACTTTGTCTATTTTGTGGTTTTACCAGCTCTTGCTTGCAGGCAAGTGATGTTTCTTGTAGATATTCCAATACACCCTTGTTGTTACTTTGCTATGCTGTTGCTATTAATGAGTCTGTGTGATTTTTTGCAGCAGCTAACTAGGTGCTCCACTGTTTTGTTGTCTGTGCTGTCTTCTCAATTTTGGCTTTATATGCATTTGTTTTTAAGAATTGATTTTGTTCAGAATTAGCCCTTCTGTTTCTTTTTTCAACTTTCCGTGGCCAGGTTTTCTTGTTTTCTGCTTTACCTGCTAGTTTTTCATAATGTACTGGCCATGTAATACTTTGTCTCGCCATATCTCTTTTCTATTTTTTATTTGATCTTTCTTGTAGGCCAGGTTTGTTTTGTTATTCAATTATTATCTCTTCATAACAATGTAAAGTCACAGTTGCAAGTTTTTTAGCTAGTGTTGGCCTTTATGTGCATCATTTTTTCCCCAAGAGCCCAGGATGTCATAATATATCAGTATAGTATATGTGCACGCCAAGTTGTGTGGCCTTTTCCAATTGATGGACGGAAATGTCAATGCACAGATTTTCTAAGTGCTATACAAAATTTTTTTGGTCTAGCACCCATGTGCCGATAATTCCTGGGACTGCTGCAGCTGGCTTGTGCCCTAATCTTTCAATTTCAGTTTTTCAGATCTTGATACTTTATGATCCTCTCCAGTTCTTTGTCTTCTATTCTATAATCTCCAGTTCTTTGTCTTATATTTTACTATCTACTGTACTATATACTATACCATATCAATTATCCACACTTTCTTCTTTTCAACCACAGTTATATTGTGTTATGAGTCAAAATTTTATGACTCTATATTCAGAATTCCACAAAATTGAACCTACTTATTTTCAACTACTTTTTCCCACTAATTCATTACTGGTACATGATAATTTTTACAGATGTTCCAGTGAATTATTTTGATGACTGGGTGATGTTGTCATTGTTTATAATCAGTTTGCATGACCATCTATCACAACCTGAATATATGATATATATTTCATCTGCTTCTTTGCCCAAGCTGCACTTTGAATTATTTGATGATTTTTCAATTCTGACCTTGATTGTATTAGTTCAAATACTGTGCTCTTATGCAACAGAAATCAAATCTTCAGTTTGTTTTTTTTAATGTTCCTGTTGTAAACCATTGCAAGGTTTTACCTTTATCCACTTTCTTCATGATCATTTGTAAAAATTGACCATGTAATCGTTTTTCTTTGTCAACATTCTATTCATGTTTTTATTATATTTTTTTCAATATTCACTTTTTGTTTCCTATACATTTAATACTTTCTCATTTTTAAACATCAATGTTTGTCCTTGACAGTCTTTTACATAATAAATCAATGCACACTTTTCTTCTTCAACAGTTTGTCTGACCTGAAGTAAACCTTTGCTTCCATTTCTGTGGGGCAAGTATAGTCCATCAATATCACTACAGGGATGTAATGCATAGTGAATAGTGGGCAATTTTCTTGTTTTTTTTTCTATCTAAACTGTTTAGTTCAGCTTGTGTCCTCTTAATAATTCTAGTAGTGTATCACATCATAGGTATGACCCAGGTATTGATGGCATTTCCAACATTCAGTTTTGTCCTTGGTAATATTCTAACTCTTTGGATGTCTTGTTTATTAATCACACTTTTAACTTATCTATGCTTAATGTTATTCAACTGTATAATGCCCAGATACTTGTAGGCTTCATCCTGATGGCTCTCGATAGTTTGGCCATTTAACATTTCAATAACATTACTGCTTGTGATTTTATCCTGATGTATTGCTACAGAGGCATATTTCCCTGGGCCAAATCCCATTGCTATAACTGTGCTAAAAATTCTTATAGAGCTTGTCAATGATTGGATTTCAATTTCTGACTTTCTATAAAGCTTTAGATGATGATGATGATTTAGTTTTATCACAATTATCTCTCTATCTCTATGAACTCTTATCTCCATCTCATCCATCTATTATCTATCTTACATGTATGTAAGTATGTAATGCAAGGCAGCAAAGATAACTAATATTCTTGCTTTCTATTTTCTTTACAACAGCATCCCTGTTAGGTGGGTTGGGTTGGGTTGGGTAGAGAGAATTTCTGGCTTAAAGTCACTCAGTGGGTTTTATGCCTAAGGCAGGCCTAGAAACAGTCTCCTGATTTCAAAGCCAGCACCTTAACCACGACATCAAACTAATATCTCCGACATCTCTTCATGAATATTTGTTGCAGTCTGTTCCAATTTCGCTTTTTGTCTTCAGTATAGTTCCTCCATAGTTATTAATTTGCTTTCCTAGAGTTAATATACCCTTTCAGAAAATATACTGGTATTCATTTTAATATCTGTGATGATGAGAGTTAAGTGCTGCATGTTGTGCTAAAAAAATGATCACAGCCACAATTCTGTTAAGCTCACTATAAAAACAAATGATTTCCTAGGGAGCTAACATTCATTACAAGAGATTAATTTAACTGTTAATTGTTTTGCAGGTCACTATTCTCATAAGCCTGGCTCTTGCATTCCTTGCCTGCATAGTCTTTCTTGTGGTATACAAAGCGTTTACCTACGACCACAGTTGCCCGGATGGATTTGTTTATAAGGTAAGAAGTCTGGGATGAATGAACTGTCTCAGCTAGTGATAGAATCTAGTTCGCTGCATGACTACAATTTAATACTGCCTTTTTCTGTCAGGACTGAAGATATAATATGTCAACAACATGCTGAAAAGTGGCTAGTGCTTTAGGAAATAAAGGTCTGCAATACCCTCCAACAGCCTCAATTATTCTGAATCTGACAGGTATAAATCTTCAAGCAGACTGCAGCCAGCCACCCCCATCTATTTTTGAACAGGCTGACAAAACTAGGTTTTTGACTCAGCTTAGTCTCAGCATCAGATTTAAAATGTAAGAGGCACAGAGTTACACACTATGCATTTTAAAAGTTTTGGGAACTCTTTATTGATTCTCAGTTTATTGTCACAGAATAAAAGGAGAAATAGGAGTAAGAGTAATAAAACTGAGGAAAAATTACCTATTGGCAAGCATGATTCACTGTCTTGTTGAATTTCATGTCTATGTTTTTACATCCAAGGACACGGTTCTGTTCACTAGCCTATACCAGGGGTAGGCAACCTTGGCTCTTTTATGAGTGGACTTCAACTCCCAGAATTCCTGAGTCAGCATGACTGATTCAGGAATTCTGGGTATTGAAGTCCACAAGTCATAAAAAAGCTAAGGTTACCTATCCCTGGCCTATATCATACAAAAAGTTGGATTGAGAACACATGTACTTGCAATTCTGCTGAGATTTGCAGGGCTATCCTAAGAAGAAATTGCATATAGGAAAGTAATTTTTCTTTTGAGTCAAAGTCAAGTACTCCATGGACAGATCCATGCAATCATTTTGGCAACAATGCAGAATGGTGTCCCATTGCTTTTTTTTTTCTTTTTCTACTTTCTTATTTCCTAATCTAAACTACAGCCCTGGGGTTTCTTGGCAGCCACCCCTGCAAATAATAGCCAGGCCCAACACTAGTTTTAACTTTTTGAGATCAGCCAAAAGTCAACTGCCATGGAGCTGGGATTGGTGGCTAGAATTGCACTCAAAATATTTAAACTTTTGCAAGGGGTTCAGAGTGAGCTAAGTTGAAGGCAAGTAGATAATTAAATAAAAACGTGCTTTTGCTTCATTAGTATTCATGGTTCCTGTTTTTTCCTTGCTCTCCAGCATAAGAGGTGCATTCCCGCCTCTCTCGATGCTTACTATTCAGCTCAGGATTCCAACTCCCGGGGCAGATTCTACACCGTCATCAGCCACTACAGCATGGCTAAGCAAACTAGCTCGCGGTCTGTATCTCCCTGGCTTTCTTCAGGATCGGTAAATCATGAAAATAAGGCCACTAAGACAGAAGGCCATTAAAGCCATGCAATGGCCTGGGGATGGAGGGAGTGGGAAAACCACATCATGTCTCTAACTCATTGCTCTAGTTCACAGAGGGCACCTTGCTAATCAGTGTGATGAGAATACACTAATTCCAAGTGCAGGTGTCATCTTAATGGATAGTTTTCTCTCTTTCATTCATTCTCACCCTCCCCTTTAGTGCATTGTTCTCGTTAATTTGTAACTAAGTCAGGATCTTGTACAAAGGCATGTTAGGTGTTTACTATATCTCACAATGTACAAATATTTTTAAAACCATTGCTAAGTATTTGTTAAGAAAATAAAAATGAAACAAAAAAAGCAAACCCAGAAAACATTGACAAGAAGGTAAAAGAAATAGTAAACATAATTTATTAGGCCTTTCTTGGTGGGGAATTTATTTATCACAATGTGACATGGAAAGAAAGTTCAGATGGAGGAACTTTATTGTGCACAACCATCATATAAAATACATAATTGTCTGGGCAAAAATCAATCTCAAAGAGTTTTCAAGGGATGGTGATGTTACATGGATGCTTTTAAAGCAATTTAGCACCATTGGTGCTCCAATGTGCATTATTCTGTCCCTAATATTAAAACAAATGGGAAAGCCCTTACATACAAGGAAATTCCTGTTCTCTTTACCAAAAACCCCACACATGCATTAAACTATTGGATTGTGACGACTAATCTTTGGTTGTTTGTTAAGAGGGAAATATTAGCCATGAGAGTGAATGCAAGCAGGTTCCTATGTGTCTCCTGACTGTCAACCCAATTTTGAATACAACAATTCTGCCCTCCCACAAACCAAAACTGAATGCCAAAGTTCAAAAACAACAAATCAAAATTGGATCTAGTAGAAAAGGGTGAACTTCTGTCTCAGAAGGGCCCAGGGAATTTTTGGGGGGTGAATTTGAGATAGAGAGAAAAATTTGTAGAAGTAAAACAGATTTTATTTTGATTCCTCAAGGAGTATGAAAGGCTTATATCCCCTTCATATAAGCCTCTCATACTCCTTGAGGAATCAAAATAAAATCTGTTTCACTTCTACAACTGGGAATCTTGCTGAATAGGCAGATGCCACCGCAAATGTCCCATCACACGGCTAGCCACCCTTTCAACAGAGAGATTCAAAGTAACAGACAGCCTGTTTTCTGTATGCTTGTCAAAATACATTAAAAATAAAAAAAATGGTTAGCCAAGCAGGCATGTTATTGCCCAAATAAAATGTTGCTAGAGATACATAATAAGAGGAACTAGCACTGGTATCCAGAATTAGCTATTAACCACCATGACTCAAAAATGATGAAATAATGCATTATGGCATCACGAGGCATATGGCTGCCTTTTCATATCCCAAGATTATATACAAGTACAAAAGTTATAGTTTTGCCTGGTGACATTATGACAACATTTAAACACTTGCACTACCTATGCCAATGGGTGCCAATTAGCTTCAGAAAATTCTTATCCTCATTGGCAAAGCCCATTTTCTTTCCTGAGAATCTGAAAGAGTTGAATAATAATGTACCCTCTTCAAAATGTAAAAGACAGAAAAAACAAAACAAAAACAACCTATCAACTAACCAAACCAACAAACAAACTTGCAAGCAGCAAATAATTTTTTAAAAGTGGAAATTAGATTAGAAGTAGCACAAGCTGAGACAGTGAAATTGGCTGTCTGCTTCAAATTTTTTGCAATAGGGATCATGAAGGAGGTACTGGTTCTCCTGTGTACTGGACAGTATTTGACATATCATATTAAATTAGCACATTGTGTAGATGATGAGTAGGTTACAAAAGGATTTTATGAGTATGACCTTGCTGTTTTATACCACATTTGCATGCTGGCATTTTTAAATTCTTCCCTCTTCGATTGTCCTTCACCCTATACAATGACAAAACATTTTTTAAAAAGAAATGCAAAATAATTTTAAAAGTCACCTGTGACATAATGTCAGAGCAGCTGTGGAATAAACCACTACCACCACCAAAAACCCATGTGTATTTCTATACACTCTCATGTAGTAATGCCATGCACTTATTGCAGATCATAGCTTCACTCTTTTGGAAGATTCTCCTACCTGACTCTGTGGGTTCATTTTTACTAATGAAACCAACCTCTAACATCACTGTCAATATGTAGATCAGGGGTTTCAAACTGCCGGCCCGCAGGCCGGTTTCATCATACTGGAGCCCCGCCCACCCCATTGCCGGCAATGGCAAAAAAGCTTTGATACGTCGCATGACGTCACGTGATGTCGTGAGTTTGACTTGCCTGATGTAGATGGTAAGGAGATATGGAGCTACTCATTGGAAGCCATTTTTTCCTCACAGGAAAAGAATCCACATGTGTTTCAAAAGCAAGCATATACATTACTCTTAATGGAAATATAATGCCTGTGTTTGTTTTCACCAAGTCCTTGGCATCATCTAAGAAACTGTTTTATACAAATTGTGTTATACAAATATACAGGCTACTAGTGCAGCTGGATTAGTACTAGTGACCTTGTCAGGCAATGGCACTTCGTAGTTTCCTAAACAGTACTGATTAAGGCCACATAAGGCAACCACTTCAAGATCTGATCAGTGCTTAGATGGAAGACTCCAATCACATGAGTCCAATCATAGACCTAAATGTGCTACATAGATTTATATTATAGTTACACTGAGTTCATCTTCAGTAAATAAAACATGCTGATTTTTTAACAGAAGTTCTCAGAACCCCACATGAAATCAGAAGAGCCATTTAGAATGATAAGAACTGATGAATAAATGCACAGGAGGAAACAGTTCAAGAGGGTGTTTGATCTAAGACATCATGTTAGGAAATGCTGTAATCTCATCTATGTTTATGCTTTATAACATATATACAAAGATTTGAATGAATTATGTATTTAAATATTGTTGGTTTTGCAGAGCTGGTTTGTGTCAAATTAACCTTCAGTTTCATGAAGAAAAAAGAAACCAAGGGTGTGATCCACCAAAATCTTAATTTGTATTAACAGTAATTGCTTGAGAGTGATCAGTGGGGGAATTCTTGGCTGTGTATGCCCAAATTATGCAAATTAAATTACACCTGAATGTAGAGAAAAACTAAGTAAACAACAGCGGTCTTAAAATTAATCAAATTGTCACTAAGAGTCCTAAAGATGGGCTCTCAAATCAGATTCCTGCTTTATATTTTACCTGCAAGAAAAAAGAAAGCCCATGCTACTGGAGATGGAAAACAAAAGAAATAATGATAAATGGTTGTATAATGTAGCCAAAATTGTAGTGCCAAATCTCATTGTCTTTTTATCCCTGTCTTTATCTCTTTCTTCATACTACATCTGTAAATCCATTTCTCATCTAAAAATGTAAAAAAAAATCATTGGAAAAAAAAGTAAACAATTTCCAGAACGGCTACTGGATAATTTATAATTTTGTGGTTGTTGTATGTTAGTAGGTAGAAGAGACTGAAGTATTTTTGGTGTAGTTCTTGACTTTTTCTGACAGGACAAATAAAATTAGATGTATCTGAGAGTCTCAATGATTGTGGTACCATTGTTTCCTTCCATTTTCTCTAAGAATTCTCTAATAATTTAGATGGATATGATGAACATATTAGGAATAACAAAATATGAATTTTGCACATTTATTTCATACCTCCCCCCCACAAAATATAATTGATTAGCTTTACATTTTTTAATACACATGTATCTTTTAGAAAAATATATAGGTGACTGGCTTATCTCAGAACCACTTTACTTCAGATCAACTCAGTTCATAGGTTGATCTGGTTCATACTGATCCCAAATATCAGTTTCAGGACTCAACTGGCATCTGCCAGTCCAGTATATTAAAGATTGCATGATTGCAGTGAGTTCAAAATGGGTGGGTCCTTCACAGTTCAAACCTGCAGTTCCCAAAAACCTTGCTTAGACATCAGCCACCTACATACATGTGCAATGACACTAGATGCTGGTGAACATTATGCAGCCCTCGCTTATTTTAAAATCCAAGGTGAACTTATTCTGCAGAAACTCATACTTTTCTGGGAGGAAGAAAGAACTGAAAAATTATTCCTGAGAACTGTTCAAACCCTGAGAAAATTCAACAAAACTATGATTTAATCAACATTATAGTAGAAACAGAGATTATAATCAGAATATCCTCAATATCAGCCAAGGTAAGTGAGATGTATAAATTGAAGCCTGGTCCATGCTGCTCAATAACATTTTTTGAGTATCTAAAAAATACTTGCTTTTAATAAAAAAATGAATCACATAAAAAGACACTTGTATATAAGATTGCATCACACAGCTCCAGAAATTAGGGAGGACAAAGTTAATGATTAAGTGAGCAAATATATGTGCAACAAATACACTTTACTGCCAATTAGGGGTGAATGCGTATGCATATGCAGCATTATGTATAAGAACATACATACATCTACAGATTCTCCTTATTCATTGCTTCTTATAGGATGAGCTTTATGTGAAGACCTGCCTTAATCCCTCTTCCCAAGAAAGCAGAACTCCTGGAACAGCTTCATTCCAAAAGGAACTTTTATTAGAACAAGTTGACAGCAGACATGAAAGGCAGGATCTGAGGGTTTCCCAAGTGAATCAATAGGTTAATGGAGCAACTGGCAAGCCCCACCCCAATAGTCCATCCAGTCAGTTCAAACAAGCCAGTCTCCAGGTGGGACCGGGACTGATAAGAGGCCATTCCCAAGGTTGGTAGGCTGTTAGGACTTCATGCTGTTCTTCAGCAGCTAGAGATAAGGCTGATGGCTGGAGACACATTCCATTCTCACCTCAGGCTGGCAGTAAGGGAAATAGATCAAAGAGCAGGCAGATAGAGGAAAGTGGAGAGGATATATTGTAGCAGCTATAGCAAACCAGAGAGGATACATTATAGCACCCAGTGCTTCCCTCCCTCCCTCCCCTCAGAACTTTGGCAGAACTTACAGGAAGATAGAATAAAGAAACTACACCCCACCCAACAAACTGGATTCTGACACTTTACTTATAAGAACTTTGCTACTGCATGAATGTACCAAACCATAATAATTACATACTTAAAGATGTGTGATTAAAGTTCTAGTTTATATGGAAGCTTTTGTATTTCTGCAGTCTCTCTGCTACAGAAAATTATGTTGCAAATGCAGACATCACAGTGTGACTTGGACAGGGGAAGATGCTACTCTCCAGGTATTGAATCTTCTTCATGCAAGCCATCCTTTGACAGGACATGGGATGGTTTAAACATGAAATAAAACCAGTTCATGGAAATTAAGGCTATCTAGCAAAGTTAGTCACAGTGCCTATTGCAGCCTTTCAATGCTAATTGTTGCAGTACATGATTGGGAAGTATCAGTTTTGAGACCAGCTCTTGAGCTTTATTTAGCAAATAAAATGCATATAAGGTGGAAACAATGCATAGTTCTTTGGTCTTTATATAAAGAAGGAAAGCTTTACTAGTGGCAGGATTCATTGTGACTTTACTTAACCATATCTCCTCTTTCCAATGCCCAACATATTAACAGTATGTTGTTTTTAAGGCTGTTAACAGCAGAATTCACTGTTATATTAAAATAAGTGCAAAACTGGTCTTAGGAAATACAAATAATTGACATTCTCAAGCAGGTGTAGACCTATTCTTCATCATGAAACTTCAAACTTTGGAAAACTTTGGTCTGATCCCACATTAGTCTCTTTTACAAATTAAGGCACTGACTGGGAATGCAGATAAATCAAGACTGTAGATTAAAAATAAATTTGCCTGCCAATGAATTATGTAATCACAACAAAGATATCTTTGAAATTATTCTGTGTGATATTCATGTAACAGAGTTGTTGATTAATAAAAGTTTGCACAAGCTGCCTAAGTGAATTTTTCTCCCATTGGGCAAAAACTTTTGGGACATGAGATTTTATCACTAGTGGCAGGCAAAAACTGACCAAGACCAAAATACAAATATATATGACATTACTGTGATAATGCCCAAATTAAATGTGTATGTTCAAGAACAGACTTAACAGTCCAATTTTTTACATGCATGTGAAACCTGACTTGGTTACTTTACTGTAAAGTAACCATTCACTTGATTAGAGCCTAAATAAGCATGCATTTGGAGGTGTATTCATATGTACTGTAAGTCTCACTGAGCTTGATGGAACTATTTAATGTCACTGAAATTTTTAAATCCCTTATCTTGAACAGTATATAAATGTCAAAGGAAAGATACTCAAAACTGCAGCCATTAATTAACTTCAATTAGCCGTTGAGTCTAAATTACAAGGAACCTCCATTTCTCACATCGTAGGCACAGAATTATAGATATAAAAGAGAGCATAAGTCTTATATTGAGCCATTTAAATTGCCTCTATAGGAAAAAAAAACCTGATGTAGGCTGTTTGTCAGTATTTTCTGTTGCATTTTTCCTGTGGACTCTATTCTACTTCCAATCTCTTCATCTCCACCAGAAAATCTCTTTGGCTCAGTTGTGATTTTCTTTGATACTGTTAAGGGGAACATTTTTCTATTTTCAGCCACCTTTGGGATTTTGTCAGTGCGATGCTGATAGTGAGTATTAATAATATTTTGAAGAAAAAAAGAGCCAGAAATTGGGACAGCAGAGACATTCAGGATCTTGCAGTAACTGATGCTACTTGTCAGAAGTTTCTCTGATAGGTTTAATCCACTTAAAATGTAGAATAATTGGCATCCTTGAGTCCAAGCAAAGGTGGCTGATTTTTTATTTGGCAGCAGAAAACTGCCAGAATTATTAATCAATTGGCCTTGGATAAACATTTGCAAGAGAGAGAGAGAGAGAGAGAGAGAGAGAGAGAGAGAGAGAGGGAGAGAGAGAGAGAGAGAGAGAGAGAGAGAGAGAGAGAGAAATATTAAATGTTCTCATTTTATGGGGCTAAGGAAATGATCCTCCTCTGTCACTGGACTCCACAATAAAATAGAGGTCTAACATTTATTATGGTGTGTGTTTCCTGATCTGCCTACTCAAAGGCCCATATAAGAATTGGAATGGCATCCTTCAGCCTCTCTCCAGATATTAGGACAGACCCTGGAGTTCCCTGGAATTCCAAAAGGCACTGAGACTACTATACCTTCAAGCCTTAGGTCAGTGTTTCCCAAACTTGACAATTTTAAGGCATGTGGACTTCAACTCCCAGAATTCCACAGCCAGCATTGCTGGCTGTGGAATTCTGGGAGTTGAAGTCCTCATGCCTTAAAATTGTCAAGTTTGGGAAACACTGCTTTAGGTTAATGTGTTTGTGGGGCCATATTTTGTTTCATTTTTTAGATTTTTTTTTAATTACTGTTATGATTGTTTTATTCTGTTGCTATGGTGTCATTTGTTTTTAATTGCTTTTAGCAATTGAAATAGTATCTAGAGTTATATAACCCCCACCCCCATAGTGCTTTACAGTACTCTCTAAGCTATTTATACATGTCAACATATTGCCCCCAACAATCGGGGCTCCCATTTTATTGATCTCAGAAAGATGAAAGACTGAGTCAACCTTGTTTTTGGGGGGGTTTGTTGGTTTATATTTATATTTGTAAGCTTTCCAGAATCTTTAAGAATGGGAGGTTATAAGAGTTTTATAATGAATAATGATAATAATGGTACCTGTGGATAATATTAAGAATTCATTATTAAACATTTATTAGAATTTTTTCACATGATATCATCAAAGTCATACAGATCCAGTCACACCATATTAACTTTTTATCTTTCAAAGTCCATGATCCAATATAATGGACTCTTCAGCCACAGTAAGTGGACTTTGCAACCAGCCATTGTTCTTGGTTAGAAAACTAAGTTGACCAATATGTAAAATCAATATATGTCTCTGAACAATGCATTCAAAACATGCATTCTTGGAATGAGTTGTATATGCATAATGACATAATTTATACTGGAAAAATTCACAGATTGAGACAATAAAATATCTGTATGAGAGCAACTCATTGATTTTGCAGATATTTCTATATAAATGGATTTTCCAGGAAACAAATGGAACAGAACAATAAGTACATAGATGTGGCAATGGCACAAATTGAATTTCCACTTTTCATTATGTTCCTAATAATTGATGTCTGTGTTATCACATAAAGAGATTTCATCTGATTAAAAATACTTGGATCAGGGTTTTGTTTTGTTTTTTTGTTTCCCTGGAACATCGTTGTTGTTATTTAAAGCTCTCACTATATTTTTATGTTAAGTACATATGCAAATAGCAGCCCTTTTGTTTTTTGAAAAAAATCTATTCTTTTGAATTTCTGCTTGTCAACGTTAACCATTCAGGAACAGAAAACAAATTCAGAGCAAAGGGAAGTGGCCAAGCAAAGCTTGCTATTATGTATGATAATCCCTGAAATGCACCCTAGTATTAGAACTTGTCATGACTGACTAAACTGCAACCAAGAGGAAGAAACCAAGTAATACTGCTTTATTCTCACTTTACATGGTCCAACTCTATCAGAAAATGCAGAAGATAATTAGCTGTAAACATTTGCCAA